TTTTATTTGTAGGTTTTCTCAAATCTCATTGATTTGCTGTTCTTGGATCTGTCGAATAATAAACTGGATATGCTACCACCACAAATTCGAAGGCTAACCATGGTTCAAGATTTGAAACTTTCTAATAACCCTCTTCATCACTTTCAGTTGAAGCAGCTTCCCAGGTTAGTAAGTTTAGTACAAATTCGTATGAAATCTACATATGTTGTAATTTTAGTATGACTGCTTTGCGAGTGTTGCACATGCGTAACACTAATAGAACACTAGACAATATTCCACCATCTTTAGACGATTTGGAAAATCTAGCGGTAGATCAGGCATTTATGTTGCTAGCTGCTGATGTTTTATCATTTCCAGGATATCGATTTTGCTGAGAACAACCTACCAGCTGTGCCGGAAGCTCTCTTCAAACTGAAAAATCTGCGAAAACTAGATATTAGCGGAAATAAGGTTCGCATTGAGTCATGGCTTCAATCAAATTTACGTTCTCTGGAATGTCTATGTTTATAGATCGAGACTTTTACAATTCCGGAAGGCAGTTGGGAATCGTTAGAGACATTAAATGTCAGCGGCAATGAAATGAAAGCCCTGCCCGATGGCCTCGTTCGCTTGGTGAAACTGCAAAGACTTTATGCTAGCGACAATAAGCTGACATTTGAAGGTTTGCAGCTCCGACTTTAAATTTGAAAAGAAAATTTGTTTTTAGGAATTCCAAAAGGCATTGGAAAACTAGTGCAATTGCTTGTACTTCACCTGACGAGAAACAATTTGGAACTGGTTCCGGAAGGCATTACTCGCTGTGTTCGACTGCAAAGACTTCGACTGAATCACAATCGGCTCATCACATTACCTGATGGAATTCACCTACTACCTGATCTCAAGGAACTTGATCTCACTGAGTGAGTCTGCCTTCAGCTGTAATTTGTTACAAGTAGTTTGGAAATTACAAAACAACAGAAGTTATAACAAAACCAGTTGCGTTCACTGCGATCGAAATTATGCACGCAATAACTCATAAAAAAA